TAGACCAACGATGTAATATTATTAAAAATCAGTTCTTTGACGTCTCATCTTTTTTCGTAGAAACCTTCAAAATAACATTTATAATTATTATTAGTCTTTATAATGAGATCTTATAATGATTTAGCCCAGGTGTTTTAGAGCGGTCCAGATCCATTTTTCAAGCCAATGTAACAAACTTTTCGGTCAACTGTATCTTTACTCCCAGCTTGTATGTTCAATTATAGGATGCTCAACGTTCGTTTATTTAAAGATTGCAACTGATTGGTCATCCTTAACAAATTTAAATGAAATTTTGAATGTTGTATCATTATCCCTCCTAAATTTTTGCAAAATGAAGGTCATTTTACAGTTTTAACCTAGTATTGACTTTTTCTTTTTCTTTAAATCTTGTAATTCTTCTTGCAATTTTTAATTCAAATTAAGGATGATCATTTCATCTCATTCATTTCATGTGTTCTGATTTGCAATGTAGTGCTCTATTGATTATTTATGGTTAACTGACATGACAATGTTCTTTCCATCCTCTCAAGCAATCTAAAACCCTAAAAGTTTATCATTCTGAGTCCTATGCTTAAGTAATGGTTTTGTGAAATACTTACCAAATATTACGTCAATGTGGCGTTGACTTTTTCTCGATTAAATTCCGTAATGAATTGTTCTTACAGCTTTCAAAAAAAAAAAAGAATGTAGTACATAAATATCACAAATACACCACAATTAAAATATCTCGGGAACTACTAAGAAATTAATTGATTGCTACATCGTAATGTTTGGTAAATCTCAGTATGCAATAGTCTTGTTACTGCAACTATAGAAAGAGAGTAAAAAATCCCTCAGAATGATGCAAGTGGTTCTTTTGGCGTAGCTGTTCAGGAATTTTTTTTTCCATTAAGAATTGCATGGTGACCCTATCAGAGAAGCATATGCTCCGTATTCTACAGCGCATTAGTAAGACAGGTCGGTAGGGCATGTGTTTTTTTTATCTTCATGTATACTTTATAAATTTTGTGGTTTGATTTTAGTCTTATAATTATTTAATTTTCACTATTATACTTTTTCCTATTTATTTATAGATGATTCAACGACAACAAAATTATGATATTTCCTGTGGAAGAGAGACCAAATTAATTTGAAGCTATTTTATTCCAATACTTGTCATTAAATCTTCTTTTAACGGGCATACGCAGAAATATGATATAAAACTATCAAGCTTTATCTCAATAATATAATAAAGAAGATATTTTGCATAAATGTAATGAATGTTTCATTTAATATCTAGTCATTTCGTATTATATGAATGCATATGATAAAGAAGATATTTTGCATAAATGTAATTAATAATATCTAGTAATACATTTCAAGTTATATGAATGCATATATATTTCATCAAATCATTTGAAAAAGGAAAAATAGAAAATGTTATGTTTGTTTTATGTGAGCAAATAGTAAAATGAATTAAAAGTAAGTTGTCTGTGTAGAGTGGATAAATAATGATGGTGGAAACGGATGTAACAATGCGTGGGAGTGTTGCTTATTATTTGATAGGGTAAGTTGCCATATATCATCATGTGATGATATATGGCAACTTACCTGTATTACTGGTGAATTAATTAGAATTTGAGCGAAATATTTTTAAACTTAATTTTTGATTTATGCAAAATTATCTCTCTATTTGCAGTATTTCATCGTTATTATTAAGAATCAGGTTAATTTTATTATCAAATTCTTCCCTTCTATGCGTGAACAACTTAAAAGATAGAATTAATTCGATATATTTTATTCGAAAGAGTAGTTTCGTATTTAGATATAACTTGAACTTTTTGGATCTTTTTTTATTTTGCTTTTGTTTTGAGATGGGATATAACTGTTCAGTGTTATTATCAATTGGTGATATTGAGATTTTCAGCTTTCAGTAAATTGAAACATTTTTTATTTGCAGTGAATACTACTATTGGATGCCGCTGAAGTTATTGTCAAGCAGATATGCTTATGCACTGTATTTCCGTAAATTGTGAAACTTTTACTTTATTCATACTTTCTGTTTTCTACGTCAAATCAACGTATGAGCAATACATCATTGAAGTAGTATGTTTCACAAAAACGAAATTTTATTAAAAGTAAATTCAGGGTTCACTCAAACTGAATTAGATAGCTTGTTGCTATGTTAGGAATACGAAAGCCTTCAAATATTGTTGACTAGAGAAGAAAGAATTTCTTTTGCCAAGAAAGTTGGTATGAAACTAATATGTGATTGAGTTAAACTATTCGAGACGTTGGAATTTTTGAAAAAAGTTAAAGGATTAGAAAGAAAATTTTAGATGAATATCTTTACAGGGTTTCTTTTAAAAGAGGACGTATAAATCACACGATTATTGAATGTCAGACTTTATAAATCTGAAATTCGGAGTGTTAGGATGATTGCTTCAGTAATTTGGAAAGCTGTTTAACTACTGATTCGTATATGATCTGGTTTCATAGCTTCAAAATGTTGAACTTTTAATTTCTCTTTAGAATTTAATGAAAAAAAATTGCAGTGGGAGCCAAAATCAAGTGGGTTTCAAGCCGTATTACAGTGCGATGCAACAGGTGCCGATTTCGGCAGTGAAATTCCAATGTTGAGTTTCAATGCTAATGAAACTGGTTGTGCATATTTTACAGCGCCTGAAGATTCATGTCAGGATACTTTTGTAAGTGTATTTTATTCAAAATATCATTTTCCGAAAAAAATTTGTCGTCGATTTTTCCATATCATATGCTAAATCCATAACAAAAATGTACGCGTTAGTATTAAGTGCTTTTTTCTTGCTTCGGCCAGATAGATTTAATATACCATGTTAGGCCAATTTCAGAATTAGGTTTTTAATTGCCGTTAAATGACTGCTGTTCGTTAGGTTAGGTTTTTCACAAGACACTTTGTAAATCCGCTCCTAGGGTTTTTCTCAGAGAGGCGGTCGTCCCGCCTACTCCCAGAAGATTGGAAATATCGTGGTGTCTTGAGATTGGACAAATATGCAGTCGTAATCCAGATGCTGGGATATGGCTATAACAAAACTTCCTGCTTGCAAGTGATAAATATTGGAAAGAGAAGCATTTACAGAATAATCGAACTGGGTGTATCAATTATTACGCAGTGGTACCTCGTGGTAACTGTAGCTTCTCCGAAAAAGTAAGTACTGTGTTATTATTGTTATACGAATTTATATTTCTAGCTGTTCTTAGTTATTATGTATGCATTAGCAACCAAAAGGATGAAGTGTTCAATTAATCGTACGCAAATTTAGTAACAGTTAAGTGCCCCCCACTGTTCTGTCTTTTCTGTAGTCTGTGTCATGGTAAGGTTATGAATCCTATGTAATTGTTAGCTATTTTGAATTTTTTTTGTGGTATTTGGCAAATAAATAAACAGTATTATTTTGATACATAATTTAGGCGTACCATGCACAACGGGGATATCCAGATCCGTACAGTGCGCTGATTATATTCAACGATGATGGCCATTCACCGGTACCAATGGCTGGCAGCAAGTATGCAGATCTAGTTGTGATTCCAGTCGTAATGGTAAGCTATGCATGCATGACAAATATAATGGATCGTTTTTCGGCTGAGAAAGGGTTAGTTTAAAGGAATATTTTTCTCTCATTTCCATTAACTTTTCATCCTTCTTCATGTTCTGTTTATTTTTATTTTTTTAAAAAAAAATAAAAAAACGTTTTCATTCTTTTCATCTTTCATCAGCTACACCTTCTATCTTTCGATGAAGAAGGAGCATTTGCAATGCTGATCCTTATTTCCCATTTTTCTAAACTCGGTAGATATTATGAGCGTTGAAGAATCTCTGCATGAGAATTTATTTACTATTACTTTTTTTGCATGCTAAGTCTTTTTTTCTTATTTATGATTATTATTTCTACCTTAAAAATACATCTGCATTGATTAAATCATATTTCTGTTTTTATTCTACAATTTCCAGATATGTAGTGGCGATACGCGCTATTCCTGGGTATTACGATCTTGTCAAGTACCTTATCCCTTTAATCGCCGTCGTGGCATTTTGTTTTGTTATTCTTTGTATATCATTGGTAAGTAGTAGCCCAAATGAATTATTTTGGATTATCCTTCCTGATAAAAATTTTATTATTTTGCTCGAATATTGTGTTAAGTGTATTAGCTTTTGTAAGTTACTGATTCGGAAACTCCTCACTTACCAAAGAAAGAGACAGCGGTTGTTTCTGACACAGAAATTTCTGAATAATAAACTCATTAGTCGCGTGAAAATTTCATTCATTATTTATTATTTCATTATTTAAACATTCATTATTTGTTATAGGCAGTACGAGTATGTCGCGAACGCCGACATTTAGCAAAGAAGAGATTATCGAAGCGTAATCTGAAAAAATTGCCGGTCAAAAAGTTTAAAAAAGGTTTGTAGACTTTCCAATAGTGAATTAAAAAGTACTTATTAAATTATATTGTTCATAAATACTTGGTAGATTCTCAAAATTCTTTCTGTACCTTCATTGCTAATTGGTCCTTTTCCGCATAGTGAAGCTACTGGTTAATCTTTTTAGTTTTTCAGTCTTTATGGTCTTGGCTGGCTAGCAAAATTAGTTTCTCCTCTACTCCTCTGGAGTCCCTAAGAATCGCTGTCTCCTTTCATCTCTCTTAATCATTCACTTATTTGCTTGTTATAAATTCACCATCAGTCAGTTCAACAAATGCATTGCAGTCCATAAACCTCATGTGGCGATCCTCCCCTGAATCTGTCAATTATGTCGAGCGTTGTCTTGAATAATGTATTGAATGTCCTTTACCTTTCATTTGGGGTATATTTAGTCACGGCGTCGTGATTTCACTTGACGGACTTTGGATCTAAAAGTTTATTAGTCCAAGTTTTTTCAGGTGATGGAGAAGAATCATGCGCTATATGCATCGATGACTTTGTCGATGGTGAGAAATTGCGTATATTACCGTGTAATCATGGTAAAATTTTCATGTTTTTCAAAGACGGCATTCTTTTGCATATTCAATGCAAATTTTTCTTGTCTACGAGATTTCAGTGCAAAAAATCGATGATTTATATGATTATTAAGATTTAAATAGAAGCATTAGTGATTTATACGCTTTTCAGCTTATCATTGTAAATGCATTGATCCGTGGCTGACAAAGGTTCGAAAAGTTTGTCCCATATGCAAACGAAAAGTTTTATCGTCAGGAGAATCTCATTCATCAGATTCCGATAATGATGAACGCGATTCCACATCAGCGTCTGGTTCTACAACGGTATATCGTGAAAATGCTCCACTACTTCGTAATGCTGAGGCAGTAGGTTTTTGCTATTGCTTTTTGCTTAGTAACCAAAATTCTTATTATCTCGACTATATTGTAATTTTTTAGAACGTAATAGATAATTGCTTTTATTGAGTTTTAAACCTTTTTTTTCGGACTTTTTTTGAAGACAATCTTTACAAATATAACTTTTCTTTTGCAGTTCGCATCTGGAAGTCCTTCAACACCCATCCAGAGAGGACTGCAAAGAAATATGCAAGGTACATGAGAAATTTTTTGTGAAAGAAAAGCTTATGCTTGAACACTTTTTTTGAGACTTTCACTTAACGTGCTACTAGAATATGTTTCCAGGTGGACGTAGGCCACCTTTACGCGTGATTATAACATCCCCTACTGATACTGCTTTGCCAGCATCTGAAACAGATTATCCAACTACCGCTGGTGCGGAAATTCGTGAAAATGGTGGTACTAGTGCAATATCAAGTCGAATTGAAGCAATTTCCGAAACTTTACGCCGAACTTTACGTCCATATTATCAGCAAATTATCAGTAGATCGATACGTGTCCCATGGAGAAATACTACGAGTGAGTCGGTAAGTTTGTATAATAGTACTTGTGGGAGACTGCAGGAAGACATGATATCATGCGATCTTTTTGCAATGCATGCAGTAAACAAGATAAGATGAGGCAACAGTGGGTCCTTATTCTGGAAGTTTTTTCTAAAGTTAGAATGTAAGTTAACTTTTCTAAAAGTATTGATTATTGAAATAATCGATATTTTTGGTAACAAAATTGCAGTCCCATTATTTTGACATTTCTTTATTTCAGGGATGCGAATCTGGGCCGAGCCCACAAAGACCTTTTGTAGTCGACAATAATGCTTTTGAAGAAAGCAATGAAGCACTCAATGTAGATTTTTGTTCAGAAATTTATTTAGAAATCTTTTCTTTTCTTTTTTAAATCAATCGAATACTTTTACTGCTACAATTTAAAGTAAAATTGAATTACAGATAGAAGGTTCTTCTGTTGCTGATCAACGTGACTCTGAAGCTGTAGGTATTTTTCCTTCGGAAGCAGCGCCTAGCAGATTAACTTATGCTGTTCCTGAATTAGAGGCTGAACCATCCAGAGATGATCAACTAAATGTAGATATTTTGTTCTTCAACTGCGTGAAATCTACAATTCCTTCTAAAATCCGAATAGCTTTAACTGTTTTTACCAAACTGTCAGCTCACTGCATATTATCATTGTATAAAAATTCGCTTCCAAAAGGACCAAAATCCAGCTACCCATTTTTATGTCTTGCTTTAACTGAACATAATGTATGAGTGAATCTATCAGTACATGATTTTTTTTTTGCAGTCTTCTACCACTGAAAGAGTTTGTGCTATCGAACCTATTGCAAATATATCAGTAGATACAAGGAATGATGGGTATGGCATTTAAACTTTCTTTGATACTGTTTCATTATAAATTTCTTTGGTAAAAAAAATTTGTCATCTTATCCATTAAAAAAAAGCCTTGTCCATTAAAAACTCGTAAATAAATTTAGATTTCATTTTTGTGCTTACAATTCCATATGCAAGTTTTAGTAATTGGTGCAAAGGATTTAAGGATACTTTTCAGCCTTTCTTTGATCGTTTTGATTTGCTTTTAATTCTGACCGTTTATTGAAAAAAAATCTATTATGTATTAAATTCGTTTATTTTAGTACAACTACAATGTCTACTAATTTATGTTCAACTGTTGATGGTTCGACAGAACATCATTTGAATATTGGGGAGCAAATTTAATGGGCGAATTTTGAGCTCAAAGCAGTGTTCAGCAAAAGCACGATTGAAACTAGTCAGAATGATACTTTTTTTAATGGTTATCATTTCTTTTCTAAATAATGGAGGCGCAGCCAATTAAAGCTCATTTCTGAGGTGTATAGATTCATGAGCCGATTATTGTAGAAACATATTTGCTTGATTCTCAACCAGAAAAGCTGGAGGAAACTTGTCGATCTGTATGTAGTAGCTTACTGAATGTAAAATTTGTGGGCTGTTTGAGTAAATTCCAAATTCTTAACAAATCGATCAAGTAGTAATTGATTATGCTCTAGTTCCGTTTTTGCATCCTTAATTTTCCAAAGCAACGTGCTGAACAAAATTTTCACTTTCCATTTTAACGGTGCAGCAGATACTCCGTACATTTGCAAATCGAAGTTTGATTTGTTTACGATACTTTGATTTCAGGTTTATTGTTAAAAAGTGTTTGAAAGTTTTTGAACTCTGTTTCTCTTTTATTGTTCCTATATTTAATTCTGATCCAGAAACGTTCCATATATTATAGGATAAGCATGAAAAGTGGGTGACATAGAGTTTTAGAAGTTCTGGCAGCGATAGCGTGCGAAGCACACATTTATAATATATAGACTTTATTTACTAACCAAATTTTTTTTATTATCTTATCTTAAAATGTTAGTGCAATGATGAGCACTTAGTTACCGAAAAAGTAATACAGAACGCTTAAAAGAAATTTGGACGCTGAGCTATATAGAAAATGAAAAACATGAACTATCGAGGAAGTGAACTGGGAACATACATCTTAAATAATTTGTATGTGAAATAATAACTGATTGTTTAGCAAGTAGTATAAGTTTATCTGAAAAGTAAGTGAAGCAAGTTGCTAATTATTGAAAGGATAATTGAAACCGGTGTGATTTATAGAATTTAGGATTAAGAGCAACAAATTTTGGACTTTTTAAATATATTTTTGTGTTAGGTTTTATCTTTGTTAGCAGTAGCTTTCAAGATCACAGAAAATCGCGGAAGTTTACGCTAACATCCATATTTAAATTTCGCTCGAAAGCATTTGCTGTAATGTCGGAGCATCAAGTCGAAAGTAACGGCTATCATTTTTCATTCTATAGATAGCTCATTGATTTATATAACTTAAAAATATTCAAAATTTTTTTCTACGTTTTGCATGCAAGGGATTTAGAAACCTTCCGAAAGAAATTCGGTTGGTAATTTATCTTCACTTAAAATTCATTTAAAGTTCAAAAAGAATATATGTATTTTTAAATGAACCTGTAAAATGACACATGGTACAGTTTTCGCTTCATCGTTTATCCTGAAAATTTTTTAAAAGGCTCAAGGATGAGCAACGTAGTTTCATGGCACACTTCACTAGAAACTTTGTTTTCATTTTTCATTAATGCTCAATATTTTGGTGACCTGAATTTCTTCATTGTCTTTCTTTTTTTTTCATTCATTCTTGTGTCATCATTTAGTCTCTCCCATTACTGCTTACTGCGACATATGCACACATACATGATGATAATTTTCCGGTTTTTCTTTTTTACTTTAGAGGTATTTCTTCTTCATTCTCGTTTTAGTTGCATAATTGACAGTTTATTATGGCCTGAATTTTTCTTTTTTTTACGATGTAATAGTTTTGATTTAAATATACTTTTTTTAAATGATGTTTTTCTTAATGTATAGATTTTATTTTTCGCTCCTTTGTGAGTTGTGGTGTTTCTAAAATTAACTATGCTATGCTTGATAGAATCAACAGTAGACGAGGACTTATTGATGAGTCAACTTTTAGCTGCGCAAGCCAACTCTTAGCTGAGGGATTGCAATATGATAACTTTTTTTTAATATGCTTTAGAATATATATATTGTACATGAAATTCGATGATATAATTGTCAGTTGTGATACTGAATTTGCATTGTACCCAAATTTTTCTATATTCATTTGTTTTAAGCTGTTAATATCTGTATAAAATAATTTTGCGATTTCTAGTTATCCTTCCATTTTAATCGACTGACTTGCTTATGATGCTATTAGCCATAAGGAAAATGTATTGAAATGAAACACTTTGTTGTACTAAATTCAGGATAAGCGGTTATATTCGATTTAATCAGTGACTGCCTGTCAACTTTAGGTAACTTAAAGTGGTCATTTTTAATGTATAAAACAATTTCAACTATGTCTAGTAATTTCAGAATCTATTCATGAAGATACTGAAAGTAGCCCAACATAAAAAATTTTTGATTCTCACTGGTTTCAATAATGGAAGACATTTCGAAAATTTTGGAAAGGAAAGTAAGATAGATTTCAATCCATTTATTGATAGAATATTCTTAAAATCAAATTTTCGTCTGAAAATTTCGAGTAAGAGTAATGAGACCACATGTACAATAATATGTTTACAAGAAGCATGATAATGGCGAAATAATGCCATTTATTCGTAAATTTTCCGAATTAACTGCATTTCTATTTTAAGTTCTTCAACTTCTTGGATATTCATAAGCACTAGTATTTTATTTTAAGATCGTTTAGATTTTAAATTGAATAAAATTTAAGATGTATAGCATTTGCAAGAATCTCGTATTACTTGATTGTATTAGCACCAAAAATTAGCTTTCTTGTACGACCTTATCAATAATAATTATGGAAGAAAAAAAAAGACAATTAAGTTAATGATTGGAGTAAATAATAATGCATTTAATACATGAATGAAGATATACAAAAATTGAAACAAAATATTTCAATTAAGCATACTTCTTTCTTCTCTTATGCATACACAATAAATTATCGATTAGATCAAATCAAATTCAAATTAAATTAAAATGCAAGCAAAGAAGAGAAAGATAATACTGTAAAATATACTTCTTGTTTCTTTACACATTTATATATCTGTTTTTTTAGACTTATTCATATCTATCTATGCTTGCTTATATCAGGCCTGAGCTATCTATTATTTATATTAATTTATTCATTTGACAAATGAAAATTATCATTTCATAATCGATTAATACAATAACATATAAGCCAAATGAAATTATTATTTTTTTGTAATTTGTATTTTTTGAAAACTTTATTTATGTTGTATTTAAACTTAACTAAATTCAAATGTAAATATATTATTAAAGCACTATGCTTCATTTGTAACTATAAAATAACGATTTCTTCATAATCGATTACGACAATAAGATAGAAGCCAAATATTAAATAACAATTTCTTCTTCGTGTAAAATAATTATCCAGTGCTAATTCCTTTCTTCATTTCTTTCATTTTTCATCCACAATAAAATTATTTTAAGAAAAATTATTAAACTATATTATTGTAAATGAAATAGCACAATTATACAGAGTAATAATACAAACTAGCATCATTGAATTCAAATTAAATTTTTTTATCGGTTAGCTTCAGCATGATAGTATTTATGCTTGCAATAATTCCTTAATCTGATGAATGCTATGATTGAGGTTCAAAATATATTAATGTTGTAAATCATTCCAAAATCTACTAATCTAGTCTAGTCTAGTCCAGTCTAATTTAATCTCATCATTATAAAATAAATTACTGAATATTCGTTTTTTTTTCATCATTTTTTTTAAGTTGAAAAATTTGTCAAATTACAGATTAAAGTGTTAAAAAGGTGTTGGACTTAATTTAATCAAATAAGAGCATTTATCAGACTAGCACGTATCATTACTTATGTATACATGTATATATACATATATATATTATTTAATTTAAAAATGATAATGAGAAGAAAATTAGAAAATGATAATGAGAAGAAAATTCTATATTAATATATATAATATATGTTATTGAAATTTTCAAAAAAATCTAAGCAAACATAAATAATTTTTTTGCTTAATTAAATTTATTAAAATAATAATTTTATAAAATATCATAAATTAGATTAAATTAAGCTATAAGCATTGAAATCTGACATATGACCTAATCTATCTAATACTATAAACCAGCATTAATGAAGGTTTTCACTAATTCTTAATTATTAATAGTAATAATAATAATAATATTAATAAAAATAATGATAATATATTTTTTTACACCAGAAAATATTCCAGTAATATTTATTAGATATATTTAAGTTAAATATTATCATCGGAGTGATCTCTTTTTCCCTCACTGTCTTATCTGGCTTTTTTCATTTTTTTTTTGTTTTTTTAAATTTTATTTACTTTTTTTTCGTCGAAACATTTTAAAGGATAATAAAATGATAGTCATAAAATGAATTCATCGTAGTAATTGCTTAAATTATTATGATTGATTGATGAATTAATAAATTAACTATTATGATTGATTGATAAATTAATAATATAACCTCTAATATCAATATTTTAGGATAATATTTAAGACCAATTGAGATGTATCGTAATTTGAGAGAAATTTAAAATTAAAAAAAATGAAAATGTTAGGTAAATACGTAAAGTAATGTTATTCAGTTATTCAAATGTATAAAATTTTTGATGAAATTTTATTAATTTTTGTTAAACAATAACCAATCAATAATAGTATTATTTTGTATGAGAGGAGGCTATAAGAAAGAAACTGTAGCAACATAACAAAACCCATAATGTGTGAATTGTTTGCGTAGCATATTAAAAAACAATTCATACAAGTAAGCTTAAATTAAATCAACTTTGAAATATCAGATAAAATGAAGTAGATTGTGATTGTTAAGCAATTTAGGCAGTTGCTATCAACTTATTGCTTAAGTATTAATAAATTTATGAATTATTTGTTTTTAATACTATTGGTCTATTTGTTGCATAATGTTATCAACTTTAAATTTTGTTTTTTTTTGATGACAGATCGATCAATTTTCATTCATACACGTTGATGCTCCAAAGCAGCCTGCTGTTGTGTTACGGCAGCTAATTGTGATTGTGCAGCTGTTAGCTGGGCTGCATAACTGTTGGCTGGTATTAGGCCATATGGCATATATGCATACTGTTCCAGGCCTACTGAACCTGCTGCTGATAC